TTTTTTTAAAAAACATAATAGTTGCATTGAGGTCTTTGCTAAAGAAAATATCTGGACACACTCAAGGACAGTTTGTGAGTTGTGGTGGGGTTTCCCCCTAATAATATTGGCACTTTTCCAATTCTTTGCCTGTCCTATTTTGAGTGCTGTGAATTGTGTAAGACTGTTGAATCACAGACCTGTACCTATTTTGTTTGTTGAAAATATTTTGTTGAAATTATATTGTAGCAACTCTAGATTGTGACTTTTCCCTAAAAGGTTGCTTTCATTGCTGTTTGTATGCTGAGAAAGTTGCTTGGACTTAATCTGTGATATTATATCCTGCAGTATGTGGCTACCTTTGACTCCTCTGTTTTCTTTTTAAATTATTTTCTTCCTCAGCCTAGCTTCCTGGGCATCACCCACGTCTACGTAGCTTAATAGTCACCAAGATTACCTAGGGTTGTGTCCCAGGAACTTGATTAAGACTTCCATCTTCTGTCAAATGGTTTTGTTGTAGGTATTGGGTAGCACTTTCATATTTTAGGCAATTAGCACATAGACTGTATGTGCTAAAGGGTAAGTCTTCTGAGCTTATACTTTTTCTGCATCTTTTGATGGCTCCTCTGCAAATGCAGATCACCTCAAGGTCGGCCAGCAGTGTGTGGCTGTCTTGGGCTCTTTTGAATCTCTCTAAGCATGCACACAGCTTCAGCCAAGCACATGCTTGCAGCAGCCATGACCACAACCTCAGCAGAGCTCCTGGCCTTCCTGCTTGCACACCACACAGCTTGTCAGCTCGCCTTCATGTCACTCCCCACCCCCAATTAACTCAGCTCCTCACACTGTGTAACTCTGCTGCCAGTCCTCATGGCCTGTCCTATCTCGGACGAACCTTTATGCCTATGATGCTGGCTGTTGGGAGGGGGAAGAATGGGAGCCACTGTAGGCAAAAAACACCATTGTTGTCTCCTGAATTCTGCAGTTTTTCAAGCATAAACGATCCTCAGACTGTTGCATACATTTGGGCATTTCCCAGCCACTGAAATGGTTAGTTTTGTTGATCTAATCCAGGTTTATTTTTGTCATCCATGAGAAGATGTGTTGACCATAGCCAGAGGGCCTTGCTAACATTCACTTTTAAATTGTGCAAAGCATACATATTATTGTGTTTTAATTAAATGGTTGGCTTTATTTAGGACTCCCAAATACTTCCAAGACATGTCAGCTCCTTGTGGCTCAAATGCCATTAGCTTGACAGGTGGAAAGCAAGCCCAGAAACAGGAAGATGTGGTATGATCATCTTCCTCAGACTCAATTCCAAGTGAGAAGGCATTTAATCTGCCCCAGTGTCTCTACAGCAGTTTAATAGGCTGGAGGGTGAAGGCTTCCAACCGTCATACACATATCTACTTATGTTACCACAGACTTCACCTGAACTGTGAAGTTAAGATGTGGGACAAATCTTTTAAGATTCTCTGCCATTTATTCTCCTCTACCAGATAGGTTCTTGGCGATAATGCAGGCAGACATTCTCAGGAGAAGAAAATATCTTATTTAAGGTATATTATCTGACAAGAGGAAAGCAATTGTGAGGCAGGCTGCTTCCTTTGTGTGTGAGTAGGCTCTATCCCTCACCTGCTACCTTGTCTTCCCATGGCTACTCTTTCTTATGTCCTTTCCCTGAATGTGAGAGTAACACAAGCTTTTTGTAAAAATGTGCATAGAACAAGAATCACAGAACCTGTCCTTCAAACTCTGTGACCACATCACTGCTGACAGTTTAATTTGTCTCTTCTTCGTTTTGTGTTTGTATGTTCACATAATTGTGGTCATACAGCCAATATTATTTATACCCTGTTTTAAAAATTATAATGTAAAAGTAATAAAGTCATTTTGCTGTAGAAATTTTGGAATATCCAGAAATGATTGAAGTCACCTGGGTATTTTCTTCTTGTCTTTCTGACTTGCAAATATGTATTTAGGTTTTTATTTTTATAAATATGGTCCTATGGGATATTTACCATACTGTTGTATACTACATAAATATAATTTTAAGAGGATGCAAAATATTGTGGGGAAATATTATAAATATTTTTCTTCTACTTTCATTTAGATTTTTTTCCTGATTTTAGAGAAAAAAATGTACATAACGGAAAACAAGTATTATTTCACCAGAGATATTTCCTGAAGAAATAACTACAGATTTTAATGACAGAGTCAAATGTGCATTTCTACAAGTCAGATGAGTTCCATCTGTGCTGCTCTGAGAATGGACCAAATGACAGAAATGCCACCAGGAGGGGTGTGGGAGGTTGAGGCTTAACCAGAAAGAGTTTCTTAAGGTGGAGAAAGGGGCAAGGAGGGTCTGCAGATTCTGGCCTTTGGACCCAAATCTCAAGAACTCAGTGGTGTGGTCACAGTTAGAATATCCTGTGTCAAGAGGAGAGTCACATATACACCATGCACACAGATGATGTCTAAGCAAGAGGTGAGCTTACAATTTACCCTGACAAAGAGCTCTTTCCCATGCATGCTGGGCTGAAGCTGTAGCATGGGGCCCATGCTTATGGAAGCCAAAGCTCACCCAGAGGTTGGCTCCCAACCACAGACTAAGAGGAGTGAAGTCTATGGTGAGAATATGCTGTGAAGTCAGACTGTGAAAGTTAGGGTGGTGATCTCAGAAACAGAGTTTTGTTTCCACCAAGGACTGGACAGAGTGGATCCCGGGACTGGGCACCTTCTCTCTATCCTGCTTGGGTGGTGTGGGGAGTGGGGACACTTGCTCTTTATACTCACATTACTGAACGGTCCTCCTCTGCTGGACCCCCAGCATACTTGCATGATGTGCATGTCTTCTATTGAGCCTTGCTCAGCCTGACTCTATAGTCACTTGTCCCAATACAAGGACTGAGATGACTCAGCCTATGACATTCAATGACAGAGTTGAACTCAGGGCCTCCATATGTCTGTGTTCTTGTGAGGAAAGAAGCACCTGCTGTTGTAATGTGTACAGTCTACTTGTGCTGGTAGCTTCATGGGTGTGGGTCTCGTGTCACCCTGTCCACACTGACAAAATGAGATGGAAAGTCAGAGCCTCAGTAAATCACCTGCCATGCAAAAATGCAGATCCTGGTGGAATGTCGGGGATCACCTAGTGCTACAAGAAGTCTGTGTGCTGTTTCCTTCAGAGCAGTGTCATCAGAGTGGACTGAGGAGCAGCGTCTCAACAGTCCTGGTCATACAATCCCAACTCACGTAGCAGGTGCTGGAATGAACTTGGTATAAAATAGGGGGACACCCCACCCACAGCCTCACAGTATGTTTGACAGCAGGAGCAGGCGCAGATGGATATGTTCTTTCCATTAGCTGTGGCCTTTTAGAAGTGAGCAAAGTCAGCTGTGGTTTAACTGTCCTTATTTCATCTTCCAACACCCGAGCCACCGCTTGCACAGCCCCAACCAGCAGGGGCCGGTTTGACTTCAAGCATTTTCCACAAATCAACCACATTTGACAGAGCACATTGACAAAACGAGCCTGAGAAAATAAACACCATCACCACACCAGCGTCCTCCTGCCCCCCATGCTGTCTCCTGCACCACCCCCCTCCCCCTCTCTTTACCTCCCAGTCCAGGGCAGCCCAGGTCCATTTGGGGAAGGAAGGTGTTAAGGAGTTGGAAGCCACGGGAGACACTGCCTAGGGGTCCCAGCAGTGACATCAGCCCACACAGCTTTAGTCATCTGCTAGTTCCCCTCTGTGCCTCTGTGCTTTCCACATGCAGAAACAGTTCCATATCTCTAAGTAGAGGCCCAGGCATTTGTCCAAACAGATCTGAACAAATTTTTGAGAATCAAAGAGTAGATTGAACCTAAATTTCTTCTTCCTTTATCTGCTGGGTCTTACGTTGTTTCCACAGGGAACCTCTACTTGGTTTTCAAAAGCACCTGTTTCACAGAAACTGAAGCTGATTGTAAGTAAACAAAAAAAAATCCATCCCAATTTGAAATGAGGCATTGTTTGAATTCTAATATATAAAAGTTATTACACTAAATGCATTCATAGTGAAAACAGAAAAATATACAACCACTATTTTTTTTTTAAGATTTTATTTATTTATTCATGAGAGACAGAGAGAGAGGCAGAGGGAGAAGCAGGCTCCCCACGGAGCAGGGAACCCGATGCGGGACTCGATCCTAGGACCCTGGGATCATGACCTGAGCCAAAGGCAGATGCTTAACCGACTGAGCCACCCAGGCGTCCCTACAACCACTAATTTTTTCACCAACTTACCACACACTGAACATTTTGTTTTACACCCATGTTTGTAGAAATATACACATACATGTAAATGAGTGTCCAATTTGTAGTGTGTGTGCATGTGTGTTTCTGTTATTTCTAACTTAGAGTTGCCAACAGTAGATGCAAATGCTATTGAGGACTTGCATGTACCCAACAAAATCAAATCATCACATCTACACAACTCCAGGAGACAGAGCACACTGTATCTTCATTTTACAGTTGATAAAATTATGGCACAGAGAGTTCATATAGCTGTAGACTCAAGCCCTTGGGATTCAAAGTTCAAACTCTTAAACCCTGAACCACCCCACCCTTCCAGTGTTAGTGCAGCTCTCATGGGGTTCTTGTGAGATCAGGAAACATGGTGTCCGTGACACACTGGGATAGGTCTGAGCACGCCCGCCAGTCATGCGAAATATTATACTGTCACCACCAAAGTGTCTTACACAAAATGAGTGTGAATCTGCTGATCTTTGAAGGAGAAATAGCCTGGGCACCTCCACTGGTTGTGACTCCCCTGGGGCCGGTGCCCCAAAGAAGGCATCATAAAGACTATCTGAGGGAAAGAATTAGAAAAGTGGAATTGACCATTATTACAACCAATGCTGAATTGGTTGGCTCAGTTGTCATGCTGTCCCTTACATGGGACTCTCAGTTAGATTGCACCAAATGAAAGAACACAGAAGCAAAAGTAGATTTTTGATTTCTTTTATTGTGCCCATTATGAAAAACAGTACAAGCTTCAGGTAGCAAGGATGGTGGCTTCCAGGTATGTAAAATAAAAGGCTTCCAGGTAATCCTCCAAGGGACTGCATGCTTCTGTACTCAGAGGCTTGGGGACTGGGTGGCTGAGGAACTGGTGGACATTAAGGAGAGAGTGGTGCTAAAGCCCCTGTGACCCCCTGGTCTCACCCCTGAGTCATGGCAGCATTTGTTCTTGCTGTAGAGTGAAAGTTTCTGTTTTCCCAGTGGTTTGTAAACATGTTCTTCAGTAATGACACAGTAGAAAAAGACACATGTGAACTGAAATAACCCAATCTCAGAAAGGAGCCACACTAGATCACTAGCAGACACTTTTAGGGACAATAGCCAGTGGGAAGAAGTGGAACTTTGGTGCCACCATGTGTTAGGAACTCTTCCCATTGCCATAGGGTGCTGGTCTCCCGAGCAGACAGATGGCGATGATGGTGGAGTAGACCAGGCTCTTCACAAGGAGGAGGAGGTAGGTGTAATAGGCAGAGGTGTTCATGAGTTGCAGCTGCAGAGTGTCTGAAAGAAGCATTTTATTAATTTCATGTGTTGTTTTGAAAGGCTAGGACTTATTATGGGAGAGAGGTGACAGTATACATTTCTGATGACTTAGTTGAAGTGACACTCACACCAGCACAATGGATAGTAAACACCTACATCACCATCACCACCACCACCACCATCACCACCACCACTACCACCACTGAGACAACTCAGAACCCAGTTTGCAGGTCAATTCACTTAGAATTTCCAAGGTATTAAAAAGTAAAGTTGTGTTTATAATGAATGAATCCAATGGGAAAAAAGGCATTGGTGATAAATATCTTTTAGCATTTCTTCAACCCCACTGTGTCTCTAAGTAAGAATAAGAGGCACTATCCATTAAGTACAAACTAAATGTCACTTATTTTGAGAACTTTGTGTGCAAAGCTTAAATCTTATTTAATTTTCCAATAACCTATGAGATTATAATTTTCATTCCCATTTTACAAATAAACTGGGCAGAGAGAGAAGCCATTTGCCTGATTTCATGCAACTAGTAAATACTAGAATCCAGATTTCAATCCCTGCAACACAGCATTTAAGAAGACTTTCGCAGCTGGTCTGTAATTCTGCATCTCCACGTGCAATAAATATCAACAACTTCAAAATGATTAAGCAAAACTATAAAGTGGGATGAAGATGATAATGAAGAAGATGATGATGATTAGAGTCAAGAAGTCCCTTGATATTGAACATGGAGGGTGGATCAGCAGGGCTAGAGCCAATGCTCTTCATCATTACCTTTGTTCAAATGGGGAGAAAGAGCCAGGAGCTAGTACTTATGATGTAGCAGCTAAATGAGATGCCTATGCATTCTACATTCTACATATGCCATGTAATATCTTCTATAACTGAATTAGGTGGTATTTGTGTCATTTTTGGTGGGTTCAAAAAAATGTAAATAGTTTACCCATACTCATGCAGCTGATAATTAAAAGAATGGAGTTTAAGTTCAGTCTGTGACAGTTGAAACCCAGGACTCACATCCTCTCCTGTGTGCACCTGTCTTAGGGCCTTGGCTTTGGGATTTCAGGAAGGATAAAAACTAAGGAAGTATATGAACTCTTGATTCAGATGGTCTGGGATGAAGCCATCGATCTCACTGTGTAGCATGGAGACTTAAATAATTTCTGTTCATTGCCTTCATGTGTAAAATGGGAGTAAACTTGGCAGAGACTCTTAAGGGAATTAAACAAAACGCACTTACAGGGCAGCAAAACACCTTCCGTACAAGAAGCTCTCAGTGTCAGTTCATGTTATTAACCACCAGCAAGAACAAAGACTTAAAAATACCTAGAAGCAACTTGATATCATGTTTTCCTCAGTCAGTAGAAACAAAGGTCACAGAAGTGAATGAAGTCCATTGTTGAAAGAATTCAGAGCACATCACTGCACCCCTAATTTATAGTCCTCTCACACCCAAACCTGCATTTACTGTGTGAAGAACACTCCTGAGAAATGATGGATTGACTTTAAATATCACTCAATCTATTTTGCAAGATTCAGCCATTCTGAAGTTTCTCCCTGAAGCCAGGGAAGTTCAACAGTTATGTTGATCAGGTGGAAAAAATGCTATAGCATAATATAAAGGCAAACATAGACAAAAACTTACTGTTTTCATCATTCAGAGAATCTTTTGTGGAGTCAATAACAGTGAGCTCTAAAAGAAATGAGAACATGTATTACTGAATTGTTCATATCCTTCTTTGACATTGTCTGGGTTGTGGATAGATGATAGATAGATGACAGATAAATGATGATAGATAGATGATAGATAGATGGATGATAGGTAGATAGATAGATGATAAATAGATAACAGTTAGTCAACAGAGAGGACAGCCATTACTAATTTGAGCCCCACAATTCCCGAAATGGTTGGTCTGATTCTGTGTAATTCAGTAGATTCAGTGAGTAAGTTCCTAGTGCTGACTTGGAAATTCCCATGTCCACAGGTTAAAGGTTGCAGTTCTGGGTGTTGAAATGGCACTTGGGTAGGTCTGAAGACATGGTTTACTGACTTGTGGTCTTAAACTAAATGAGTACATTTTGAGCCTGTGGTTTTCCTTTTTAACAACCCTGCCTTTTGATCAAACTCTTAGCTTAACTGAGAGATAGGATCAAAATGGAAGGCATTAACACCACTCTCAGCAACTGCTCTGAAGTTCTCACAGTTTCTGTTGTTACTCTAGGTGATATTCACAGGTCTTTACCTTTTTGCTTAACCCTTGTGATGTTCCCAGATTACCACTTTAGTTTTACAATTTTTGAGTTGGTCATTCTCTTCATTCTTTGTGATGTTCCAGTCTTAAAAAGATCATTTGCTTAGAGATTACTGGCTTTGAATTTGCATGCCAAGCTTTTGAGAGAACATAAAACACCAGGCAGATTGCTATGATGCCTATAAACAGGATAATTCCCCATATTTGGAGTGCTATTTGATGCCATGGTCTCAAGACTCAAAGCAATTAAAGTCAAATAAGTAAGAAAGACCCTGCTGAAGAAGTCACTCTGTTAAGCCCAGTGGTTTGCACCCTGATCTGATCTTATTGGGTTTTAACTTCCCCAATAGTGTTCATCTGAGTATAGCACATGGTGCTGCCTACAGCACAGATCCAGCCTTGCTCAGCTGAGTCATAATCAAGGGCTATCTTACTTTCAAGAACTGCTTTGGTCAGAGTCTAAGGATTTTTATGGGGTACCCATTACTTTCGGAGGGATTCTGCAACAATTTTAAGAATGGAGGAGAAAGTCTTGATCATACCTCATTTCCAGCTATCCCTAACCAGGGAAGTAGGGCCAGCCAAAAGAGTGAATCCTGGTGGCTTCTTGGTAGTCCTACTAACTTAGGATATATCTTTAGGGGAGTCAACCAATGAGATGTCTTATTTACCTTGAGAAAAATTAGGACTAGGGTTAGATTTTCTGCTAGCCTGAAATAAAATATTGCTCTAAATTCCAGAGGTTAACCTCCTTGGCAATGACCAGGGAAATATAGGCTATTGCCAGAGTAAAAGAAAAGAGGGAGAAAGGATTTCATATTTAGTTAAAGTATGAAGTCTTGAACCCCTGTTTAGGTGAAAGCAGTCTGTTTGGATGTCAGCTACTTTTCTTACTCTAAATTGATTCAGAAACTCTATGTCTGGGCAAGACCAGGTGTCAGGTGGGGACTTCTGTAGCTGTGGGATGTGTACAAGGTTCAACATTTAGGTTTTATTTTTTTATTTAATTTAATTGTATTATGTTATGTTAGTCACCATACACTACATCATTAGTTTTTGATGTAGTGTTCCATGATTCATTGTTTCTGTATAACTCCCAGTGCTCCATGCAATACATGCCCTCCTTAATACCCATCACTGGGCTAACCCATCCCCCCATCCCCTCCCCTCTAAAACCCTCAGTTTGTTTCTCAGGGTCCATAGTCTCTCATGGTTCATCTCCCCCTCTGATTTCCCCCTCTTTATTTTTCCCTTCCTTCTCCTAATGTCCTCCATGCTATTCCTTATGTTCCACAAATAAGTGAAACCATATGATAATTGACTTTCTCTGTTTGACTTATTTCACTTAGCATAATCTCCTCCAGTTCCACCCATGTTGTTGTAAAAGTTGGGTATTCATCCTTTCTGATGGCTGAGTAATATTCCATTGTATATATGGACCACATCTGCTTTATCCATTCGTCTGTTGAAGGGCATCTCGGCTCTTTCCACAGTTTGGCTATTGCGGACATTGTTGCTAAACATTGGAGTGCATATGGCCCTTCTTTTCACTATATCTGTGTCTTTGGGGTAAATACCCAGGAGTGCAATTGCTGGATCATAGGGTAGCTCTATTTTTAATTTTTTGAGGAACCTCCACACTGTTTAGTTTTACAGCAGGAGCACTTGGTAAGGTCCCTCATCTACTGGGATGTCGAGGGCTGTCTTCCTCTGATGTTGTGTCTAAAGTACCTAATCACCAGGCTGCAACCTGTGACTGAGAGAATCCTTTTAATTGTGAACTAGGAAGGCTTCCATAACCTGGTGATGACAGGCTTGAGCATCAGACATTGGAGACTTACACTAGCTGGTCAGACTAACAGGCGACACAAAGGATGAGCAGAAGGTTGTATACTGAGACAATTCCAGGAAGGTTGCAAGATTTTCCTAAAGGCTCCTATGATTTGCCCAGTGAAGTAGGCGCCCTGGTCATTGGAGATCACAGAAGGTGTGCCCCAAGGGGGAAACCCATTTTTAACAGTGTCCTTACCACAGTGCAGGCATCAGGGAAAGGCAGAAAATATACACACAATGACAAGGGAATATTGACAACCCACACTAAGTGGCAGTGGAATGAAATCCAACTGCAGATGTTCAAAGAGTCCAGAGGGAGGAGGCATGAAGCCTCCGGAGAGTAAACAGTTTTTCCAGGACTATGGATCTGACAGGTTAGACATTGATGGTAAGCTGTTATGTACATTTGGGGTCTCCAATGTGATGGTTACCAAGCCAGTTCCTCAAGACACAAAAGAAGCTTTTATGATTTTGCAACTTTGGGCTCACCTGGGTAGCTCAGTCAGTTAAGCATCTGCCTCAGCTCCGGTCCTGATCCCAGGTTGCTGGGATCCAGTCCTGCATCAGATTCCCAGCTCAGCGGGAAGTCTGCTTTTCCTTCTTCCTCTGCCCCCCAACTCGTTATCTCTCTCTCAAATAAATAAAATAAAATCTTTAAAAATAAAGATTTTGCAATTTTGCTACATATCTTTAATCTGGGACTGTAGTTCTTAGGTGAAAAATAAACAGATATATCAGAAAAAAACAATAAATAATATTTAAAAATTAAAAAAAGAAAAATAAACAGGTATATCAGAGAGTGGTGAGCTAATCTCTTTAGAATTTAAGGATACCATTAGTTAAGAATTTGGGCACTGGGTGTTATACAAAAACAATGGATCATGGATCACCACATCAAAAACTAATGATGTAGTGTACGGTGACTAACATAACATAATAAAATTTTAAAAATTAAAATAATAAAAATAGTATACCATTTTTCTGGCATTCGTTAAAAAAAAAAAAAAAGAATTTGAGCTTCTCAGAGCCAAAAAACACCTAAAAGGGATGTGTCTGGTATTGAGAATTTTGTGTTTTACAGTGTAGCTCCTTGCACAGGAGTTTTCTTGAGGTTGATGGGTACCTAGTGCTGATACAACCCATTTCCTGACCAACTCATACAATCAAGGGAGTGTTCTTGAGGTAGCAAATGCTTCAGGTAGCAAATGCTCTTACAACCTCTAAATGCTTGACTCGTGCCCACCAATTTCTGGGGCTTTTTCCACCTTCCTGTTCCTCTGTTGGCAGTAGCCTTTATCTACACTGAAGACTAAAATTATGTGCACATTAGTTTATGGGCAGTAAGAGATGTTACTGAATTTTGACCACAGGAAGACTCTGTGTGCACCACCACCAATTCTCCTGGAAACTTACTGAGGTTTCCACCTGGGGAACTTGGTCTGAAAGGTTAGGGACTTGGCTGTGAGCCAACCCTTCTGCCAGTTCAGTTAGGCTCTGGGCAAATATACCAGCTCAACAGAGCTCCAGACAAACATGCTAGCATAACACTCTGCCAGCCCAAGCTGGCTTGCCCTGCAAAGCAAAGTCAGTTAGATTAGGAGTTTGAACACAAAGAGAATGGAGCTTAGAACCAAGAAGAACTCACCCACAGCCCCTGGAACAGGTGAGAAGGATTGTGAACTCAAAGGGCTCACAGTTACCACCTCTGTGTTTTGCTTTGTCTCTGAAGGCCCCTGGGAGTCCACTTCGGATTCCATCGCTGCCACCAAATCTGTTAAAGAACAAAAATTCAACTAAGTAAATGTTAAAGATCTAATGGTGCTATTAATCAGTCAATTAATGAATCACACAGCATCCCATCTAGCAAGTAGAGGGGAGCTCAAAAGGATTACAGGAAAGGAAAAGGTTTTAACAATAGAGAGGAAGCAGAAAAAAAGAAAATTCAAAGAATCCATTGTTTTAGGCAAGGTCACCCTCTGGAGGGGAAGGGAAGGGGTGTTTCATGGTGCTGACCAAGAAATTCCCATGTTGACTGGCTAAAGGTTACTCTTTTGGGGGGTTAAATTGCACTCATGTCAGGGATTAAGTCTTGGTTTAGTGACTTGAGCCTTAAACTAAGTGGGTTTTTTTCAACACTCTAAGAACACAAAGACTTACTTCAGAAATGTAAACTTGTATATAGAAAGCTCTTCACACGTCTTCTTATGTGCTTGTTCCCCACTGCTTAAAAAGTGCTTGTGAACCACAGAGAAAAGTACAAACTTGTTCCTTCTTATGGGCCCTCTGGGGCCTTGGTCTGTGATGTTAACGCCAGGACTTGATTTCTGAGTCTAGTGAGTTATTCGATCACAGCAGAGCCAGGGCACTTTAGCCGTCCACCCACACTATCTAAATATGTCCAGCATCTGCACCAATTGGGTTCCTTTGGGACACCATGCCTGAATTATGCCTGAAATATGAGTGACACTGAGTGATTAGGAAAAGTGTATTCTCTCTACTGTAGTGATCCTCCTTGGGACAGTAGTTCATCCTGCATGCCTACCAGGCCTGGCACACACTAGGACTGAAATAATGTTTGCTGAGTAGCCTTACCAATGGTAAGAAATACATTCATTGTGTAGTTTCAAAGAACCTTTATACACACAAGCCTCACCCAGTCTTTACTTACTATACTTCACTTTTTGCTGATATATAAAATTCAAATCTGAAAAACTCAAGACCATACTAAGACCTCAGTAGCCTAATTACTATTCTGGTTGAGCTATGATTCGGCTCCATCAAATGAACAGCGTTTTTCCCCTATAACTCATTGTTTATGGGTCATACTTTGAGTAGAGCAAGATTGAAGTGAGAAGGATTGTGATGCTCAGAAAAACATTGTTGAAAGATACATAATTGTTCTTATTTCCTGATCAAGTAAAACCATCAAAATTGGACTCTCTGAGAATTTCTTGTATGTGAAGTTGCTAGGTGCTTTCACATATATTGTTTCATTTAATCCATGAAATGACTATAAAAAACATCACTGTAACATTAATATTTTGGATGATGAAACTGAGGTGAGAAAGGCTAAGTGAATTTGTCTTTCTTTTTTTCTCTGTATGTTCCATAGGCCATACTGTTTTTTTAAAAAAGATTTATTATTTATTTCAAGAGATAGAGAGGACAGGGGGAAGGGACAGAGGGAGACAACCTCAAGCAGACTCCATGCTGAGCATGGGGCCTGACACCGGGCTTGATCTCAAGACCCTGAGATCATGACCTGAGCTGAATGAGGAGTCATGCACAACCAAGTGAGCCACCCAGGTGCCCTCAAAGCCCATACTTGTTTAATTCTGTGGGAAAATTGCAGGACATTTATGCTTTCATTAAAGGCAACAACATTAGCAAAAATTTTCTATTTGCTTGTTTTCATTAATACTTGACAGAAAAGGGAAGGTTTTCCCTTTGAAACAAAGGGTTCTAGGAGGTTATATTCATGTTTATATGCACATACCTTTGTTTATTGAAGGAAAAAGAATCTCTTGATTAACCTTTGCTTTATCACTCTCATGGTTGACGATACATTTGTGTTCTTTATCCATTGATGCTTCAGTCACAGTCAGCCAGCTGAATTTCATGTATGTGTCCTTAGTCTTCATAGTGTCTCCCTGCTGGGATTTCAGAATTGTTTTGCCATCCTTTTCTTGCCAATCTATCTTGATAATGTCAGGGAAAAAATCCTCAAGAAGACAAAGGTATGTTCCAGCCTTATGGATTTTTATTTCAGCAACTGAAGGAAGAAAAATTGTGGGCTTGGGGTAGATGTCTTCATGAGGACTTTTATCTGTTGGAGAAAAAGGAATAACAATTAAACCATGATTGGAGGGTGCCTGGGTGACTCAGTCATTTAAGCGTGTGCCTTCGAATCAGGTCATGATTCCAGGGTCCTGGGATGGAGCCCTGCATCAGTCTCTCTGCTCAGCAGGGAGCCTGCTTCTCCCTCTCTCTCTGCCTGCCTCGCTGCCTACTTGTGCTCTCTCTCTCTGTCAAATAAATAAATAAAATCTTAAAAAAACATAATTAGAGAAACACAGACATTGTGGGGTTTGGAAACACCCAGCACATAATAAAAGGAAAGAAAGTTGCTATAGAATTAGTGCTTACTGTGGCTTTTCATCCACAGAAGATTATGAGGTGCTTATTTTCTTAATTTCCTTGGGAAAAGAGGGTCTAGAGGTTATGTAACTTGCCTAAAGTCACAGCTATTAAGTGAAAAGCCCTGGATCAAATCATGGAATTTTTAAAAACAATACACACTCACTTGTTTGAGTGGGAATCTATCAAGTTGACCTTTTATTTACAAATAGGGATCTCATGCCCATTTCTGATACTGGAATTCTTCTCCTTGATTTCTGATTCTATAGAACATCTCATTCTCACATCTGAACCACTGCATGAATTTGAGTAGGGCAATGTTTAATGCTGCACCTCCAAATTATTTACAATGCCTGAAATTTAGAAATAAAATGGCCATATTGCCAAAACTTCTATTTAAAAAAAATTATTGATTATTTTCAGAAATTTTCATATAGTAACCCAATCAAGTAATGCAGTGATCAGAATTTTGTTTTGCTTCAGGAAATGTTCACTGAAAGTACATTTTATATTGGAATTTCATTTGAAGATACCTTGTCTAAGAAGACACCATATTTGACCCTTATCATCTCTCCCCAAATCTGAATCTGCCCTACAAGCCTGCTGAACTTATAGTACCCCTCAATTTTCTTTCATTTCACCTGCTGAACAAAGTTATATCATCTAATGGTGTCATGTTAACAGTTATAGTCTGGGTTTTTTGCAGACATAATGTCAAATTATATAATGAAACATCATGGTTTTCAAGGGCATGTCACTTGAAGGCTGGAATATTCCTTGGTTATACATTATTATTAATTGATGATTCAAATTATAAATAGAATTCTTTCCAATTTGAGTTCCAACTGAAACACAAATTGTTTACTAATTTTCTCTTTCCAGTTGTTTGGAGTTAGAATAATAATTTCATGGGCCATTTCCTAAGAAAAAAATGAATAGGTTTCTCCTGTGAGAAGAAAGGAAAAAAAATTCTTCAGAATTTTTGCTTGTGCACCAAAGCTCCTGATTTTTATACTCAATGAGTAAGCAAGCAATGATGACTTTTTAATTTAAGGTATAAATAAATATTAGGTCATAATGCACTTGTTTTAAGTTTGTACATCTTCTTTATAGTGCAAATAGTATTTTACTGATTATAAGAGTAAGACACAGTATGGGGTGCCTGGGTGGCTCAGATGGTTAAGCGTCTGCCTTCAGCTCAGGTCATGATCCCGGGGTCCTGGGATCGAGCCCTGCTTTCGGCTCCCTGCTCAAGTGGGGAGCCTGCTTCTCCCTCTCCCTCTGCCATTCTCTCCACTTGTGCTCTCTGGCTCTCTCTCTCTGTCAAATAAATAAATAAAGTCTTTTAAAAAAAAAAGAGTAAGACAGTATATTTCCTCAACCATATATTTTGTCTTTAATTTAAAAAACATGTTATATAAAGCAAGATTTATTTTTCAGAGTACACGGTATTTACAGAATTTTTGCCTCTAGTCAATAAAGAATCTAGTTTTCATCTTAAAAAGTTCGGTTTTTCATAGGAATACTTCTGATTCATCATAGTAAGGAACTTGAAAATCAAATCATGAGTTGGAAAAATCGGGATGGCAAGAGATTATGCTTACCTCCTGTCACTTTTACTTAGCTAGAGCCCTGAAGTTTCATTCTTTTCAGAATAGAAGGTATCTTGAACTTCCATAACTTTCTCAATGTGATAGTTAACTGAGCATTAAATAGTATTATTGATTATATATGATCGGTGCCTATATTTTATGGAATTATATTACATGCTTTTTTTTTTTACCATTTTTTTAAAAGATTTTATTTATTTGACAGATAGAGACACAGCAAGAGAGGGAACACAAGCAGGGGGAGTGGGAGAGGGAGAAGCAGGCTTCCCGCTGAGCAGGGAGCCCAATGTGGGACTCAATCCCAGGACCCTGAGATCATGACCTGAGCCGAAGGCAGATGCTTAATGACTGAGCCACCCAGGCACCCTACTATTCCTTTTTTTTTTTTAGGATTTTATTTATTTATTTTAGAGAGAGAGTGGTAGGGGAGTGGCAGAACAAGAAGGAGAGTAAGAATCCTGAGCAGGCTCCACGCTCAGCCTGGAGCCCAACATGGAGTTCAAGGCTCAATCCCACTACTCTGAGATCATGACCAGATGCTTAATCGGAGAGCCACCCAGGTGCTCCACAACATTCTTTTTAAAACTTATTAAGAGTGTTTTTTTATGGCCACAATCATTTCATTAATTTATAAAACAGAAACCGTTTTACAAAATAAATAAATTTTCCCAATACATTTATAATATTCATAATCAAAAAAATTTTCAGGTAAATTGCCTGAGTTGTATATATTTGATGACTATGAAGCAGTATGAATTCTATATAAATTAACAAAATGCAATGACATTTTCAATTAAGTATGGTATTTCAGATCTGCATATTAATATTGATTCAAAATTCCTCTTTTATTTTTCTCATTTTTATTAAAAAATACTTAAAACTATTTCTTATGTAAATATGAATTTCAAATTTATGACATTTCTAAATATATTTAAAAGTACTGGGGCACCTGGGTGGCTCAGTCGTTAAGCGTCTGCCTTCAGCTCAGGTCATGATCCCAGAGTCCTGGGATCAAGCCCCGCATCGGGCTCCCTGCTCCGCAGGAAGCCTGCTTCTCCCTCTCTCACTCCCCCTGCTTGTGTTCCCTCTCTCACTGTGTCTCTGTCTATCAAATAAATAAAATCTTAAAAAAAAACCATTATAAATAAATAAATAATAAAAATTAAAAAAACCATTATAAAAGTACTAACTGTATCCCTAACTATATTCCAAAGCATTTTCTAAATAAAATTTAAAATTTTAATTGTTTTTCTACTAAATACCAGTGTGAAGCCCAACTTGTTACTGTTAGACATGATATCAATTAAGATAAAGGATTAAGATTTAAGTACATACGAAACTTAAAAATACCAAAAAAAAAAAAAATTTGTGCCAAATGAGAGAAAAGTCCATTAAACAAATACCTCTAAATTCAAGGGTTTTGTATATCAGTGGACAGTAAGGTAACTTTCCACTAGAGTGGTTAGAAGTAGAGCTGAATCCTCTGGAGAATTTCTGCTCTGTCAATACAGTTGGCTACAAACCACTCTCCATACTGGATACAATTCTCCCTTTAGGTTAAAAATGGGGCAACACCGTTTTACCATCAGAAAAGGCAATGTGTCAACTCACACAACTTATCTATCATGATCAAGTTTGTTCTTGGGCCAAACACTTTCAAGACAATTACACATGTTGTGCATGAGCACTTCATGCAAGTCCACACAGACACAAGGGCAGATCCTATTACAGTGTTTGCACAATGTTGGCTATGCTGACCTTTACTGGAAGGATTGGTATCAAATCTCTCCTAAGATTTCCACATCTAAACATGCTATGAAAATGAGAGATTATAATTATAATTATCATTACCATTATTATTAGCAATTTGTTTGTGATGACTTTGCACTCCAACATCACATTTTAATCTCATGAGACCAAACCTTCTCTTACTAATAAGAATGCAGTATTTGGGGATAACAATTGGACCTATGTCAATCGAGCATCACAATTCATTCCTTCGTTTGCACCTCTCTTTGCTCTACTATGTCTGGAATTCTCTGAACCATGATCACTGAAAATGTGTCTTTCACACAACAATTGTTAGGGAATCACTTGTCTTATCTTATCCAATGCCTTTCCAGTATTAAGAAAATCAAATGGAAGCTAGTAAAGCCCAGTAATAGGGGGTCACTTCATGGAACTGATTCACTTGTACTGTCCAAAGCAAATGGCATTTTCCCCACCAACAGCACAATCTATGAGCATTCCAAGCTCTCCTCAGAAATTTCTATCTCAAACTGACTTTGTTCCAGCTCATGTCCAAAGTTTGGCTTCAGACTTCTACAGTGGGCCTTCATGGTGGAATGATTAAATCAATGGCCGGTTGCCTTGACATCCAAGCCTCCTATTGTCATGTTAGATCACTAGACACTCACCTGCCTGACCAAGTCTGCTGAAGGTCATCATCTGTGAATGACATTAAATGTCATGGTGCCCATAGTAATAATGCAGTGGTAACATGAAACAGGTTTGTTAAAGACCATTTCTTCCATTTTCTAAAATGGATGTGGAAGGCACTGCTCACTCTTTCATTTCACATTGCTCCTAAAGGATTCATGCATTGAAGTCTTTTTCTCATTTTAAGGTGGGAAAAACATATTTGAAAATTAGGTGTGCTTCATTTTCTCAGTTAATAAAAAGTATGTACTCCGTTACATTTTCCCCTTACCTTTGAATATAAAATTTTACCCTATGCTTCGTGCTAGATAATCACAGGCCTTTTTTCTTCTGTTTTCATTTCCTTAGTGTTTTTGGTCTTCTATTTTTGTTTCATTGCCTAACTGTCCTTGCATATTTTATTTTAGGTCTCCTCAAATAGATTTTGGAAATAGGCAGTATAAATAAATGAGAAATAGTTTCTGCATTAGAGCTTGTTTCTTTTTCTGCCCCAGAACTTGATAGTTTAGTAAGGTCTACCTCAAAGTTGACATGAAAAATGGGAGAAGATATTTGCAAATCCCACTCTGTGATATAAATGCAAAACATTCAGAATTCAAACACACTGAATTCAGAATTCAGAATTCAAACACACTGAAATGCCAGAACATAAGATGAAGCTTTTGTTCCCAAAATTATGCCTCATAAAACAGAGTTTCCCCTGTGTTTCAGTTTGGGCAATCTCTCATTTTAAAGGATGCTCTTCTAATACTCTACTTTGATTGAACAATGCACTTGGATAAGATATCAACCTGAAATAAACTCAACTAAAGCCAGTTTAGAGGTAGCACCAGTAAAAAAAAAAAAAATAAATAAAGAAGTTTAATATGGATTTGGTAAATATTACCTGGGACTAAAGTCTCTATACTTTATGCTTACATTGTACATATACAGAATGACAGAATAAATGAAAAAAAATGCTTTTATTTTGTAAGTGGATAAATGTCTGTTCCAATAAAATATCCAAAGACATCATCATAAAAGTATCCCCAGACACTCAGACCCTAACTAAGATGACTCAGAAATTTGCTCTAAAGTATACATTTTAGATGCATGTGAAGAATCTGAACAAAATTTTTAATAAAATATGAGGTTAAAAAAACAGTATTTCTCAAGTGATATTTGTAATAATATAATTTTTAATTTGTAGGTATAATCCAATTAAGATATAAACTATTAAAAGTGAATATTTGAGGGCACCTGGGTGGCTCAGTCTGTTAAGCATCTGACTTTGGCTCAGGTCATGATCCCAGCATCCTGGATGGAGCCCACCACATTGGGCTCACTGCTCATCTGGGAGTCTGTTTCTCCTTCTCTGTCTGCCTCTCCCCCCAGCTCCTGTGCTCTCTCGCTCTCTCTCTCTTGCATGCATGTCCCCTCTCTCTCAAATAAATAAAAAATAAAATGTTTTATTAAAAAAGTGAATACTTGACTTTTTATGTATATTAGTATAATTTTATATATTTAATTGTAAAACATCTCCCTTGTTTATATCCAGATGTTTCCACTGAAAAGGGAGAGGTCAACTTATGTTGAGGTTAACAATATATGAGGTAATGCTTACTACATTCTACTCATTTTTAGAAACATGTAACAATGAGTCTTAGAAATTGAAAGTATTCTGCAAATACTGACCAATTATTCTTAAGTGACCTGTAGACTAGATCATAATTAATACAATTTTCTGTACTCCTGATTTAAAAAGAACCCCACTGAGTGATAATTGGAATTTGTAGAACTGACTTTTTTAATGAATTACTACATCCCAACCTATGCAGTAGATATTACCATATTTAATTTCATTTAGTTCTACAACATCCACGTGAGATGGCTGTTACCTTGACAGAATGATGGATGGAAATATAGCAAATGTTAACAGAATAAGTGTCACTATAAATTTTTAATACTTTATTTTTTCTCTTTTCCAATTTTTCCCTAATGGGCATGTATTATTTCTATACTGTTAAGAGAGCAATAACCAGTGAATCAAAATTTATTGGCTGAAGGATGATTACACAGAAAGTAAAACATCCAGAATGTGGACACATTTTTCTCTGCACCACACTCTCCTATAAAAAAAATTTCAGGACCTCATGAATTACATCTGTGTCACCATTATTTAATTAGATTGCTAGAATTTATATTGCAGTCAGTGGGGGGAAATGCAACTAGAAAGTTACTTTTCAATTTATGAATTCATGCATGCCTATGATCACAACCAGAAAGACACCAAAATATATCACTCCTTCCACTTTTCCAATGTTTCCCCAGCCTTGTGAAGATTCTCTGAAAACATTTGACTAGATTCTATAGGGTAGAAACATCCCTGTGAGATGTTCTCCCTCATCCGGGCCAAATTTCATCCCTAAGGCTAATGAAGAATGAACAAATTTACTAGTCTGAATTTGGAAAAAACAAACCCAGCTTATGACATTCCTGGATACATTTATGCAGTTAAATATGTCGATACCTAATATGAATTGCCTTCAGACAAAATGGCAAGTTTATCAATTTTTTGTTCATTCTTTTCCTGTGGTTATTTTTTGTAATCTAATAAATAAGATACACAAATTTCTTTACAAATGTTTCAACACAGAAATCCCTAAGGGATTAACAGCTCCACCCTGTAGGGACCCCCAGTTGCTCTAGCTAGTTAGCTCCTTGTTAATCTCCTCCATTCTAGCTCAGGCAGCAGCTACCTCCTAGGACTAGGAGAGAGTCAACTACCTCTCCAAGTAACCCACTGTTATTTATGACCAAACTGGGACCAAATCCTAGAATTCTGAGCCAGTACCAGCACCTAGCCTGCCCTCCTGGATCACCTACTTCGTCTCCCTACCTTAAGGGAAGAATTAAAACGTATTTTACCTGTAATCCTGAGCAATGTGCCAGGACCAAACACTTTGTTGCTCCACCAGTTATTCCATGTACACTGTCTGAAAAGCTTTTACAGAAATCTCCCTGTGTGCCTCTTTTAAAATTGTGTCCATATTTTTCCAATATTTATATAAATATATATAAATAGACACTGCTAACATTAAACAAAGATAAATCTCAAGTAAAATCACATTAGATATGAATGTAGTCAAGAATGGATGAACTGACCCCTCTCTGCCTGGACAGCTTGGGTCTGTCTTTCCCATCTCACATGCATTGGAGAGTCTAATTTTACCTTTTCTCACCATGTTCCTGAAACTTCTAAATCTTTTTTCTTAAAAGGTTTTCATGTGTCATATCAGTTCTTTTCCTAGAGTGTAATTTACAGTTACTACTTCTGTGACTTTAACAGAGGAACAAAAATAGACATAATATATTTTAATATTTAAGATATGAATGTTCAATATTTTATAGGTATTTTTTTATTTCTACACATTGAAGGGTAGACATCTGGTTTGATTTTAACATAAGTTTTTTCCAGATTTCAGTCCTCACTGATACTAGAACAGATGAGTTGTTACAGAGTGTGAAATATTAATGATGATCTTTTAACCCATTTATTCCTGAAAGACTGTTCCTTTGAACTTGAAATTACCCTATCAAGTTCCAGGATATGGACTTACAATTCTGAGCCGCCCATCAGAGGATCCTGCTTGGTTTGCTCTCCCTGCAGCTGTCCCAGCCGGAGTGCAAAGGCAGCTCTGAGTTCTGCAACTGAGTCCTGCATGTAGTACAACTGCTCCCATTCTTCTGCCAGCTTTCATATTTCCAGCAAATTTGATGCCAATACAGAAAGACTGAATTGAATGGTAACAAAAGGACTTGCAGTTTATAGAAATACCCTAAGAATCACATTGTGAGAATTTAATAAATGAATATTCAACATAACTTACTTGAAGTCTTGGGGGGAAGAGAGGCAATTTTAATGCCATGATTAGAAGCAGAAGTGTTTTCTGCATGAGGAGTCATACAAATTATGAGCTATTACTATTAAACATTCAACTACATAGTCTATTTAAAATGTCAGACTACAAAAGACTGTATATTCAGAATAAAAGTATGGCTTAATGTTTCTAATAGCATATAATGGTATAGACCATGCATTATGGAACAAACAAGGAACTATTTGGTCCCAAACTTTGGCATAGTAACTAGCCATGTGAATGTAAGCAAATAACTGAACTCTCTAAGTCTCAGTTTCCCCATCAGTGAAATTGGAATAAGAAAATTTCCTGTGTAGTGCTCTTAAGGATTGAGATAAGGCACAGAAACTAGGCAGTATGGTATCTGACTCTCAATAAATATTAGCTAATAGTATTATTGTCTTTAATCAGATGGTTTTGGGGCCCTTTATCAAATTTTCCACTAAACAAATATATGCAAAAGAGCTCATGAATCCGACATTCTATGTGTCTGGCAACTGCAGGCCAAAATACATGGGGCTCAATCAAGCCACAATCTAGAATACTTATCCACTAGGCTACAAGCTTTTTGAGTGTTGGGACTGTGTCTTGTGTACCCTTTTACCTCTAGCTTCCATCATAGAAACTGTCTTCAATAAATGAAAAAACAAGGATGTAAAACCATGCTGACAGCTTCTTTTCATGGATTCTGGAACTGAAATAGTTTACTGAGCTCACAAATTCCATTAAACTGGACCATCTCTAGGCAGTATCACAAGAGCCGCAATAGCTTGGTTTTTTACTAAATTGAGCCTACCCACCAAGAAAGTAGAGTAATAATAATATGTTTATTTATTGATGTTCTATAGTCATCCACTGTAAGAGTTAAATTTTTTGCACTGCTCTTAAAGATGAAATCAAAAGCAATCCTACAGTTTTTATGGGTTATTACAGCAAGGAACACTATTCATTAAGAAAGGAGCACTATTAATACTACAGGTACTTCATCAAAGTGTTTCTCACTTAAAAGGCCACCTACATGAATATCATCTTGAACCAATAACTTACACAAATATATCACAGACAAGGTCACAGAAATATTTTAATTTCAGGCCTGCATCTATGCTTTTATGTACATATTTTCTAAAAGTAGAATTTCAATCTGCTTGCAAGCAGGGAAGTAAATAAACCTTTACAAAGTAGTTTTGTTTCATATATAGTGACCAGTAGCTGCAAAATTGCTGTCGAAATGCTAAGTTGATTCTACATTGTTTTTCTAAAAAGCATCTCTCAGTTTTTTATTCACAGGATATAAAAAGAACAAAGTTACTTACCAGGAGGAGTTACTATGAACTTAGTGCCTTCTACAAATATCTTGATCCAGCCTGGTTAGAGGTTATCACACTGGCTAGAGCTTCTACAAAAATGTAAGCCTTCTCCTGAGGTTCATGTCAGGGCCAGCAGGTAGAAACCTTGTACTGGCAATTTGATCTTTTGAGGTCATTAAAAGTCCTTGAATTTAGGCTTCATGGCATCTGATATTTTATGTTCCTCAGATTAATTGATCCAAATGTCTGTTTTGATGGAGGCAGCAATCATGGAAAACTGCGGATAGAAAATGGATATGATGAGAGCAAATAAAAAGAAAAAGAAAGAGAGAGAGGAAAGAAGGAGGGAGTGAAGGAAGGATGGAAGGAAGACAGGAAGGAAGGAGGGAAGGAAGGAAGAAAGAAAGGGTGGAAGGAGGGAAGGAAGGAATAGAGAGGCAAGGGATAGAGAGGGAAGGGAGGGAGGGAGAGAGAGAGAAAGAAAGGGAGAAAGAAAGAAAGTGAAAGAAAAAACAAAAGAAAGAAAAAGAAGATCGGGACTAACTGGTCATCCAATGACTTTTCTAAATTACCAGAAACAGTGTTCAGAGAATTAAGAGATTTTGATTTCCAGGTGCTCAAGTATGTGAAACTGCTCAGAGATGCATCAAAGGAAACCTCTTCTGTTCTCACAAACATCAGGCCTACTGTGTCAGCAGTTTAGGATTGTATTTCTGAAGACGATACGCTTCACTAACTGAAAAAGCGAGCATGCCAATAGAAATATACTTGAGAAATGTGAACAACGGTCTCCACTTTTTAGTAAGCCACTTTTGCCATTTGACAACACAAATTTTTTTCAGGGAAAACAAAATGAAAAAATACTTTCTGAGATGACTATATTTTCCTAGAATAAAAGGAGAAATTTGTAGAATTCTATCTCCCACAGAAAAATAGATTCCTTATTAAAACTCAACTTGGGAATGCTCGCAAATACCAGGGGTTTTCTATATTTTTAAAAATACTTCCCAGCATCATATTTATTCTTTTTTGTAACTGCTGTCTTTACAACCAGAAAACATCTGCATTTCTACTTCACAGCTGTCTCTTTTTAAATAAATTGTACAAAAGGACTTTGCCATCACAAAAAAATAAATAAATAAAAAATAAAACTCAACTTGGAAAACAAACCCAGTTCTCTGATATGTTGAAAGAAGAAGCCTCTTGGAAGCTATTCTGTGATCTTCGGAAAAGCAGCTGTAGCCCTGCCTCTGTGGTTAACTAGCTTTGGACAAGGCATTTGCCATCCCTGGACCCCCACATCCCATTTGTTGTGTGGGCATTGATTGGGCTACGTATGTCCAAAGGGCCCTTCCTGTTCCAACAGCTTATGAACCTGTGATTAAGAGTAGGAAAGGGGGAGGGAGGAGCAAGATGGCAGAGGAGTAGGAGACCTAAATTTCGTCTGGTCCCAGGAATTCAGCTAGAGTGCTATCAAACACTTCTGAACACCTATGAACACAACAGGAGATCGAAGAAAAGAATAGCAACAACTCTCTGAACAGAAAAGCGACCACTTTCTGGAAGGTAGGACGTGCGGAGAAGTGAATCCGAGGCGAAATTCAGAAGATAGATGGTGGGGGAGGGGGCCTCCGATGGCCGCTTCTGACAAGTGATAGAGCCGTGGAGCACAAAATCAGAAATTTTAGAAGTCGGCTCCGCTGAGGGACGTCGCTCCAGTGGCTAATGGGGGGTGGAACACTCGTGGAACAGTGTGGTCTCAGGACCCTCGGGGTCACAGAAAGACCGGGGGTGCCTGAGTGCGGCAGAGCTCCCAGGTATCCAAGTGGGGAAGCCAGCTGCAGAGACAGAGCCGAGGCGGGGGCTCTCAGCTCGGGGTTGCCACAAACCGTGATCCACGGCACAGTCGGGCCACTGCTGCTCCAGCAGGGACCCAACAAGTGGCAGATCCGGGGAGACTCCCCTTCCTCCCCCAGGAGGAGCAGCACGGGAGTGCACCGCAGGGATCTGCTGGGTTTGGAGACAACACACGGGGTCTTTCCAGAGATAGAAATGCACGGTCACAGGCCGGGTGAGCACGGAGTGTGGCCAGAGACAGGAGAGACAGGAGAGACTGACTGCTTTTCTCTGGGGGCTCACTGAGGAGCGGGGCCTGAATTCTGGGCTCCTACGGGGCGGAGATTGGGAGGCCGCCATTTTCACTCTCTGCCTCCAAAGCTGCATGGAAAGCTTGCAGGGAACAAAAGCTGCCGAGAGCAAACCCAAGCAGATTACTTAGCCTGACCCGGCCAGGGTGGGGCAATTCCACCTCCGGCAAAGACATTTGGGAACCATGGCAACAGGCCCCTCCCCCAGAAGATCAGCAAGAACCGCCAGCCAAGACCAAGTTTATGCATCAATGAGAACGGCAGAACTCCAACGCTAGGGGAATACTACACATAGAATTCATGGCTTTTTTCCCATGATTCTTTAGTCTTTCAAAGTTAATTTTTTTTAACGTTCTTTTTCTTTTGAAATTTTCTTTTTCCCTTTTCAACCAACATCTTATCAATCCCTTTTTTAAAAAATGTTTTTTATTTTTCATTTTTAGAATATTCTAACACTTCATAGTAGTTACCCTTATTTTTGGTATATATATATATGAGTTGTTCTCTCTTTAAAATTTTGGAATACAGTTTCTTCTAACAGACCAAAATATACCCTAAATCTCTAGTGTATGGCTTTCTTCTAGTCT